TCTGTTACCCTGGTTCAGAGTTCGGCTGTGGCCTCTGGCTCTTTCTCCTCGCCTTCCCACACCCAAGTCCTGTTCCAAAGCCCAGCGTGGACATGCCACTCATCTGCTCAGACACTACCAGCGGCTCCCCAGAGCCTACAGGACCCAGTCTCACCTCTTGGGCCCAAACTCCCCTGCCCGCGAGCCACAGTGGCACACACGCCAGGCCCAAGTCAGTGCCTCTGGCCGACCTGCCTCCCTCCTGGAGGATGCTATCTTGCAAGGCTCGGCCCAAATGCCACCGCTGACCGCTGGCCCCTCAGGAAAGCCCCAAGGTTGCTTTGCCTTCCCCAGTGAAGCCATCCCTTACGCCTTTACCCTGCTCTCCCTAGGCATGGTTAAGCCCCATGGCTAGGGGCTCCAGCGGCGGGGGTGGGGGTGTTTGGGGGCTTGTCACTCAGCCCCAGGTCCTGGAGCTGCTGAAAGTGCCCTCCTCCCTGAGCGGGGGCGGGCGATTAGCAAGTGGCAGCAATGGCAGGCAAGCTGGCCCTGGAGCCCCCGTGAGGGGACCTGGGAACAGAGCTGTCTCCACCTCACTCAGAGTGAGGCCATGAGGCACCTGTGGCAGCTGCCAAGCCTCCCTTAACGAGGGCCTGCTGGGCAAACGGGCAGCCGGGCTCTTCCTGCCCTTTGTCCCTGGCTCCCACAGCTGTCTCCCAGACCACAGGCCGGACACCAGTGTGGGGTGGCGTGGCTGAGTGGGGATCCAGGTGACGAAGCCCAAGGGGAGTGACGTTTGGGTCACCTCTCTCTCCGTGTCTACCACCTCTGCTGAGCTAATGCGGAAGGACTCCGAACTTCACTTGAAATGAGGGAAGCCCTCCTGACCCCTCCAAACAAAGGTCACAGGGTCATCTGGATGGAGGCAGAGCTACTCCGGTGGAAGCAAGTTAGGGTCCGAGTGCAGTGCCCCCATCCCTAGCTTCCAGCCAAGGGGCCGTTTTAGCACAGCCCTAAGCCCCTGCTTAGAGCAAGCTGAGAACCATGGTCTGCGGTCCCTGCCCACTTTCAACTCGTGGTAGCACGACCTCCTTAACCCAGCTGTGCCTTCTTCGTTATTCATTTAACAAACACGTACTGGATATCTTGTTTGGAGCATGTTAAACTAGGATGAGACTGTAAAGTGCTTAGCAAGTCTGTAGCATGTTGGAGGTGTTGGGTAAGTGGCGTTTTGCTTAAATGAACACCTAATGTGCAAATGAGGTCTGTCTGCTGCCTCACACACTCCCAGTTCCTCTCCAGCTCATGGAGAAAAAGCCAACGTCACCTCCAGGGCCTGCGGGCACCTCCCAGCCAACCAGGCTCCGCCTGGATAACGCCCTGTGCTTCCCTAAACTCAGGAGAAGATGACCAAACATCACGAGCACCCTCCACCTGCAAACTCCTGCAAAGCAGAGACACTGGGAAGGGGGTTTATGGAGAAGACTGTGGAGTCTGCTGACCGGAAGTCAGGCACGGGGGCTTGGCTGCCAGTCCTACACTCTCATGAGCTCCCCTGCCCACTGCCACAGACAGACATGAGCCAGGTACAAAGTTCAGGGACGTCGCACACACAATCCCACACGGGATGCTCAGGCCTCTCGGTCCTGCCTGCTCCAGATGCCCCCACCTTCTCTCTAAGGCTGGGTCCCCTCCGGTGAATCTGGGGACCTTTTCTATTGCTCTGGGACGACACCTGGGTCTCATTTCCTCGGTGGACTTGCAGTGTCAGGGAAGCGTCAGTTCCCTTTTACAGCCACCAGGAGGTCCCCGTCCTGGGGTCAGGAGTGCTCTCGACTCAGGTGGAGCAGCCTTGAAAGCTGGGGCGCATTCCACACAGACTGACAGCCACATGCTGCCCCACAGTGCACAGCCGGGGACCCCCAGTGGTTGCCAGGAAGAAAGGCTGAGTTCTACCCCTAGAGCTCGGCCTGCCGGGTTACCAGGCTGGAGGAGTCCGGCCAGAAGGCGAGGCGCTGCCCCACAGACCACAAAGCTGGGGTCTGGCCATCCTTCCAGAATCCCCGCAGAGACGTGACAAATGATTCTCTCTGGGTTCCTCACAGTGACCCCCAAGACCCTCACTGTCCCATGAGATCCATCCTGCCCTAGGCTCAGATCCATCCTGCTGGAGCCCTCTGAGACCACTCCCCACCGCCCTCCCCTCCGGAGGCAGGAAGCTGCTGCCGTCGTGTGAGCACCTCCACAGCTGACCCAGCATCGGATCCGGACAGAAGTCAGCGCCGTCAGGGCTGGGAGAGTCATTAGCAGCCTCCTTCCCCGGTCCCAGGGCAGTGGGGACGGGGGCAGGTGTGGGAGGGAGCCTGATACTCTCTTCTCTCTGTCTCCTACTGAGAGAGGCACAGGACCACCACCTGTCCACTGCAGGCTGGAACCAAAACCAAAGCCAGCCCCTTCCTCGTCTGCCACCTGGCTTTGTTCTCCAAGATGCCAGGTCAGGCTAACCACAGGGGCAGAGGAGACCTCCACCTCAGAACACAACAGAGCACCTGGGGTTGTAGCTCCACTGTGGGCAGCCTGGCGTCTCTGTCCCCCAGCTGGTGGCCAGGCCCAGCACACCCCACAGACATCCCTGGAGAAGCCTCTTGCTCTCCCCTGGCCCCCTGGCTTCCTCGTTTCCGGCAGGAAGAGGCCGGTACCCCTGCTCCAGCCCCGCCCCAGGAGAATGGAGCTCGGGGCACAGCTGACCGGCTCCCACGGGGTGAGGGGTAGCAGTGGAGGTGGGAAGAGGAAGGGCTTTCATCAAAGAGGTGACGTCAAAACCAGGCAACTTGTGAAGCTGTCAGGGGCCGGGAAATTTGGACAAAGGTGTCTAAAAATAAAACCCCGAAGCCAGAAAAAGGCTTTGGTGGCTGAGTGGCTCGCCACCACACCACATGCCACGCATCCTATTCTGAGGTCTGAAACCCAGAAAGCCCATTCCCAGGGGTGCTCCTCCAGATGGCCTTGAGGTGCAGGACGGCACAGACAGAACTGCAGACACCACAGTTCTGGGTGAGCTGGGTGAGTCCCCCGTCCCCGGAGACATGTGGAGTGGCCTTGGGCATTGATGTCTCCCCTTCTGCCCTCACCACCAGCCGGGCCCCCACCTCCTGCCTTACCCTGCCCCTCAGCCTCCACGCCACCCCCTCCCCCGGGCAAGCCCACCCTCCCCAGCACCCTCTGGCTGCCACGCTCCAGCTCACATAGCAAACCACTGTCTTCTTGTGCTCTGCGCACTGCAGTGACAGCCCTCCTGCTTCTCCTCTTCCTGTCCTTAACCACCAGACCGTGCTGGTGGCCCGGGCCCATTTACTCATTCCCAGCCAACACCAGACTCTTGGGCCCCTTTAGCCCAGGCTGTCTGAGCTTCCGTTTTCACCACCAAGGCCCTCCCTTTGCCCAAACTGCTCTGGAGAACAAAGCCACTGGGTTCCTCAAGCCCACGGAGCTCACATTCCTGCGGACCTTCTGTTTCCCTGACCGCAGCCACACTGGCCATGCCTTGCACAGTCTTTGCTGCCACCAGGCATCCCTGCGGCAAACGCCGTCAACAGGTTCAGTCCCCAAACGTATCCACGAGCCCAGTCCTCTCTGAATTCCAGACCCTGCACCGCCTGGCACAGCTCACAAGTCTGGCTGCCCCCAAACCAGGTCCTCCCTCAGCTCTGCACAGCTCAGTGAAAGCACTGCTGAGCGCCTCTCCTCTCCCAGGCCACAGGGAGCCAGAGCCCGCTGTGCCCTCCTGCGCCCTCCCCGCCCCGACACCCAATCCACCCAAAGTCCCACAGTTCTCCCCCGCCCCCGCCCCAAAGAGAGTAAGTCTCCACCCTTGTCTGCTGTCTCCACAGCCACAGTCCCGGACGAGCCGTCCCACCAGGATTCCTAACAGCCCCGTGAACCATGGTCGAGCCCTCCCTGCCAGGGCTGGACAGCCTGTCCCGTCCTGTCCTGTCCAGGCAGGGCTCAGATCATGTTACTTTCCTATTGAAACACTGCCTTTGGGTCAAGCCCCTCTCTCTGCTCTGCTCAGACCCTCTGACTCCCTTCTCCAAGGGCCCGTCTGGGATTCTGCCCCGAGGTTACTGACCACTTGGTCCAAGGTGGTCCCAGGCCTTTTCTCACCCCGTCCTTTCCTATTCCGTGTACCCCATTCTCGTCTGACATCAATTACCTATCTCCACCCTCGCTGTACACACCTGCCTCACACACCAACATCTCACATTGTGTCCAGCACAGCACCCAACACATAGACATTCGCTAAACACAAGCTGGACCGGTGGCTAAACAACTGCTTCCAAATCCAAACGGTCAAACTGCCCTAGCACCCGAGTTCAAAACGTGTTTTAGAGAAATACAGATGTGCAACGGGGAAAGTCAAACAATAGCTCTTCGGATCTTCTAGTGGCTGGCTCTCTCGCTTCCTCCAGGCAGACGGGTCCGCCAGCACGGCCAGCAACCAGGCTGGGAACTGAAGGAGCTGAGGCCTGCCGCTGCTGCCCCAGTCCCGGGCTCAGGAGCAGGTGCATGAGCCCATGCAGAGGCAGGACCAGGGCCCGCACACGAACACCTGGGGCCTGCCAGCCACAGGGAGCCGCAGCCCCTTGTGCTTCAGGCCTCCCTGCTGATGGGGCCAGGGTGGACCTGGCCATCCACCTGAGTCTGCAGTGGGGGCTGAGCACTGACGATGTCTCTGGTCCGAGCCACAGCTTAACACTGACCAGGCTGGGTTTCTGCGCAAACTCCCTAGGCTACTACTAGACACTCCAGTGCCCACAAGGTCTCGGGTATCTAGAAGAAATGCCAGCAGCCTCTGCCCATCTCCCTGGCTCCACAGGCATCCGTTCTGCAAGGGCCCCAGGGTGCTGCCTTCCCAACACTACCTCTCCCTCCTAGCCTGCCAAATCCGCCCTGGCTTCCGCCCGAAGTACTGGCTGCACCCTGCCATCCCCCTGGCACACACAACCAGACCCGTGTCTCACCTTGATGTACGCGTCCAGGGCAGGATGGACACGGCGGGCAGCCAGCCAGATGGACAGGGCCGTGGTGTAGGGGAAGGTGGCTGTCACCACGTGGCTGGGTGCTGGGAAGGAGAACACCTTGAAGCCAAATCTCTGGTAGAGCTGGAGGAGCTCAGAGGAGGGCGCCCCCTCGCCTTCGCTCAGAATGCTGCCCACGGCACAGCGGCGCTTCTCAGGCGGCACCTGCGGAGGGAGAGCGGGGGGTTGTGCTGGGCAAAGGAAGGGGGCCTCAGACCTCTTGCCCACTGGGTTCTGGGCCAGCTCGGGCCTGGCAGAAGCCCCAGCTCCAAGAGGCCATGCAGCTGCAGACACCAGGACGAAGGGAACTTTCTTGCTGGCACCTATCCATGGCCCCGGCCCGGGGCATCCTGCTGCAGGACTCGTCCATCCCTCCGTCCGTTCCTCCAACAAACATGCCAGGCTCCGCGCTGGCTACAGGGGGCAGCAGGAAGCGGTGAACTCTGTCTGCTGATGAAACTGAGAGCGCCCCTTCGCTGTTCCCGTGGTCAGGGCCAGCCGCCACCACCCAGGCCTCCATACCCCCTCCCCAGCCCACGCACCAACAAAGGCTCTGCCCCTTCCTGGCTCAGCCAGAGACTGCTGCTTCCCCTCCAAGTCTCTCTGGGCCCCTAAGACCTGCACCACACTTTGTTCCCCTCCCTAACTGCCCTCCCTCCCCTGTCTCCCACAAACCACAGCCAGGTGGGGAGCCTATGTGAGTCCCTAACACTTCCTAGGCCTGACACCAGGCCTGCAAGGCCCAGCGCTTGCTTCTCCTCCGGGCATCCAGGGGCCCCAGAGTGTCTCACCTCCTGCCATCCGAGTGTACCAGCCCTTGGGCTGGGCCCCCAGAGGCATGTATGTCCCTGAATCAGAAAGACTCACCACAGCCAGGCTGGTGTGGCTCGGTGGACTGAGCACCATCCCATGCACACTGGTCTGATTTCTGGTCAGGGCACACGCCCAGGTTGTGGGCTCAGTCCCCAGCAGGGGGCATGCAGGAGGCAGCCCATCCATGTCTCTCTCTCATCGGTATTTCTCTCTCTCTCTCTCTTCTGCCTTCTACTCTCTCTCTAAAAACCAGTAAAGCATTTTTTAAAAATACAAACATGCCATACACTTGAAAAGACTCACCAAGACCCCGTGCTCTCGATCCTGGGTTTTCCTCGATTCCTGGATGTAGGGCCCCCTAAGCCCTAAATTTAAACTCTCTCTCCCCCCACCTGCTCCTCTCCCTAGCCCACCTTCTCAGCCCAGTGAAGCTGTTGTCACCTGACCTCGCCTCTGCCCTCCCTCTGGCCCTTTTCAAGCCCTGTCAACGGTCCCCGGGGGTGTCCCAACCCTGCTCTGCCTTTCTCTCTGGCCAACCCAGCCCCATCGTTGGCATCTCGCTTTGCCTGGCACCCGGGCACCGACTCCAGGCCCTCACCTCTACGTAATCCCTGACGGCCACCCCAGCTCTCTGCGGCCCCGGGCCCTTGCTGCCCTTTCATCCTGTGTCATTACGCCCGGCTCAGGGCCTTAGTGGCAGGCAACATGGGACAGTGGTCAGGACCACAGCTTCTGGGAACAGGCAGGAATGCTGAGTCGTGTGATTCTGGACAAGTCCCTTAGTTTCCTGGAACCCCTGTTCCTTGATATCTTAGAGGCATTGCGTGAGGCCTTAGCCTGGCCAGCACTCAGCAAATGCTCCATAATTACTGTCAGTTATTAGTAGCTATGGCAAAGGCCAAATAAGTAACCCCTGTGGCCTAGAATGCCCATCCCCCCAAACCTCTGAACATGGAGCTCCTCCCTGCCCATCCTTCAGGTTCAAACACCCTCTTGGGGAGCCTTAGGGTGGCTTGGTGGCACCTCACCTCCCACACCAACATTTTGCTGTGAACTTCCCACATCAAGCCTGCCTTGCAGCACCGTCCCTTCTCTGCCTGACGCTCCCACCCACCCCGGCGGAGGTGCAGGAGATCCCTGCACTTCCAACTTGCGTCTCTAGATGGTGCCACTGCCCCACTCACACCCGAAGCCTTGAGGAAGGCCAGAAAGGCAGGAGGTTCTAGAGGAGTCAACGCCTACTGCAAAGCCCATCTTCAAGCTCCTGACCTCAGCAAGCTAGGCTGTACACAAGAAAGATCCTTGTCATCTTTAAGTTACGTGGAAATCTGGATAGACGGCAACTTCATCTCTCCGCTCAACCCCTGGCCTACTTGGGTTTGCACTCCAGCAGCCTGACGTTCTCCTCAGTCGCCCAAAGGCACCAGGACACCTGTGATAATCCTGCTTAGAATCTTCATGGCTCCCAATTTACCTCTCGAATGGAACTCCTGAGCCCAGCAGGCAAGGCCGTCCTCAGTGGTCCCTATGACTGCTCAGCATTGTCCACACTCCCCTGGCAACTCTTTCTCTGCACCCTCAGGCCCCGTGCGGGCCAGAACCCAGTTGGGCAGGTGCCCACTGTGTGTCTGAGTGGCAGAGGGAGGGACAAATCCAGGCTTTGTCCCTCCTCTCCCACCACACCCCACACAGACCTACATAGCATTGTTTGCAACTCCCCAAACATGCCATGACCTCCCATGCTTCCTACTTTTTCGTAAGCTACTTCCTCTGCCTGAAATATCCTTCCTCACCCTACTCCAGAGTCCCTTCTGCCTGGGAAACTGCCCACCTTTTAAGGCTCAGCTCAACTCTCCGCCTCAAAGCCTTCTGTTCTCCCCGCCTAGCAGCCCTCCTCTCGGACCCAAATGCCTGCAAGGGAGCAGTCGTGCACTGCGCTGTGATGGCTGGCCTCTCCATCCCTCCCCACCACTCCAGGTCGCTAGGCAGAAAGGCTCCATATCCCACACAGAGAAAGTTCTTGGGGCGTGCTTAGCCACAGCACATGTATGTGTACTTCTGCACACACAAACCCTGTACCATGAGCAGATCTCCCTCCACCTTGAAAAAGGAGGGACCCTTGTCACAGGGCAGATAAAGCAGCCAGTAAGGAGATGGGGCTCCTGGGAACCTGGACGTGTTTGGGGCACAGGTGTTCCCTTCCTACCTGAGCATCCCCTCAACTCCACAAATGAGGACATTTCCCACCTCCTCCCTTGCCCGGGCCAGTGACTCAGGAGCAGCCTAGGAGGCTCCTCGGCCAGCTCCCCTCCTGCTAAGCAGCCCCACGCGGAGCTGGAGCTGGGAGGAAGTTGGACCAGGCACCAGCAAGGAGATGAGAACGACCCTAAGACAAGCTGGGAGGCGGTGAGGCTGGTCGAGGAGCAGGGAAAGGCTTCCCTGGCTCCTGGGAAAGCCAAGGCCCACCTCCAGGGCAATGGCCCCCTGAAGGCGTAACGGGCCCAGAAGGTGGGAACGTCCTGATGGCTAGAAACCCTACCCATCTTGGTTCAATGCAACATCTTTATTTGGGCTTGACCTTCAGAGGTCAGCCTGGGTCTTCCAATTTCGTCTGCCTGCTCCCTTTCCACTCCACATCAGTCATGTCTCTGCTTAACTGTGCCCGGAAGAGTTGGACCAGAACTAGCACCAGCAAGGAACCACGCCAGGGAGAGGGAGACAGGTAGTGGGGACCCACTACCACTTTGGGTGAAGGCAGGCCCATTCAGAATCTGCCCTCAAAGGCAGAACACTAGAAGAGCATCTCCTTTGGGCTGTGAAGCCTCCTGAGTATGTGCGATGGGGGAGGAGGGTCCTGCTTGGAACTTAAAGCTTCTGGGTATCAGCTGGCCCCACTGACCCTTCTGGAGAGTCCTCACAGTACCCTGATGACCCTGCTGATGGGCCAGAGGGAAGAGAGAGTTCCTGCCTGGCCAAGACTGCACTGTGTCTAGAAACGGGACAAGATCGATTACCTTCTTTCAGGAGCCAGAGTGTAAAAATGGTGTCCGCTGGCTCAGACCAAACCCAGGCCCAGGGTTCAGCAGAAATGGCCAGCCCCAGGCCCACAGCCTGCATAACCTGACAGGGACAACTGCGCTGCCTGCCACTCCCAGGCCCAAAGGGCTGCCTTGACTCCTCCCTGGCCAGCCCACCCAGCCCAGCGCTGCCCAAGGTAAAAGAGGAGCAGTGCCCTTCCCTTGCATGGGTGCCCCCAGGGGAACACAGCAGCCACCCCTGCCCACGGCTGGAGGATGAACAGTAGACTCACTCACCCTCCTGGGTCCTACAGGGAAACACACCAAGCCCTGAAGGTCCAACCTCTCTGGGCAGCTGGTGCCCAAAGGCACAGTGGGGCAGGCACTAGTTAGGACATGGGCAACGCAGACACCCAGGCCAGAGGAGAGGACCTGTACATCAGGCTGGGGGGAGGGGAGTCAGCAAGATGCCCAGGTCCAAAGTGGGGTCCAGGTGCTTTCTGGGACCTCCCACCTAGAAGTCTTTCAGGGCATTTTTCACCCACAAGCATAATCCTAACACCAGTTGGTATGTGATGAGGTGCTCACCACCCACCCCAGTTGCTGTCTTCCACACATCAGCTCATTATCTAAACAGCACTGTGCAGTAGATGTTATTACAACCCTGTTTCTGAGACCCAGAGAGCAAAGCTATTCAGCACGGGTCACACAGCAAGGCAGTGATGGAGTCAGGATTCGAATCCAGGCAGACCAGCTCCAGAACTGTGTCAAACAACCCACAGCCACTCGGGAGCCTGAGAAACAGGCCCAGGCTAGGAATGGCTGCCCCACAGCTTCTCCCCGTGTGCCTCCTCACACGGCCCCGGTGACCAGCAGGGCACACGGCCCGCAGAGGCAGGAGTAAATTCCAAGAGTGCTAAGCAACTATTAGGGCTGGGCACTGGGCCCTATCCTTATTATTTAGTCCCCCTAAATAACGAAACCCTGCCCTGGCCGGTTTGGCTCATCGAGCGTCGGCCTGCGGTCCAGAGAGACCTGGGTTCGGTTCCCGCTAAGGGCACGCCTCGGTTGCGGTTTGTCCCCGGCCCGGGTGGTCATGTGAATGGCAGCCACTCGGTGTGTCCCTTTCACATCGATGTTTCTCTCTCTCCCTCTCTCTCTCTCTCTCTCTCTCTCTCTCTCTCTCTCCCCCTCTCCCACTCTTTCTGAACAAAAAATGGAAAAATGTCCTCGGGTGAGGATAAAAACCCGGAGGTAGGGATTCTCAGAGACACCAAGCTGGTCAGTGGTGAAGCCTTGATTCAAACGCAAGAGGACAAGTCTAAAGTCCTCTCCCACATCTCGCCTCCCCTCCCTTCCGAAGGCAGCCCTGCTGGGCAGAGAGGCTGCCTTCCCAGGGCTGCCCACAGCTGACCAGCTGTGAAGCGGGGGTCTGGACTCATTGAAGAAAATCATCGCAGGGAAACTGGGCGCTCAGGAAACAGCCCATTCCCATCATCCTTACTGAGGGGTCAAGCCGGGGAAATCCTACTCCCTCACCCCTTCCCAGGCTCTGTGTGACCTCAGCGCCCCTGAAGAGGGCAGGGGCCCCATCCCGCTCCCCAGAGAAGTCTGATGGGCCTAAGTCAGACTCTTACCAGGCTCGGCCCGTACAGACTCGGTGCCCCAGGCTGACTCTCGGGGGCCAGGGGAGAAAGAGGCTTCAGCGGCGGTCTAGCTCCTCAAGGCAGAGCCCAAGCACCACCAGCTCCCCCACCCACTCCATGCCTGGGCAAGCACCCCTCCTGGGCCTTGGTCGGTACTGAACCGGCCACCCCACTCGCCTCGGCCAGGCTCCCACAGGGCTGGCAGGCAGGTTGCTTAAGCCCCAAACATAGCAGTGGAGGCAATAGTGGCAGAGGGTGGAGCAGGAGATGGAGGGCCAGGCTGGCAGACAGGCCAGACCCATGGGCACAGGCCGGAGCTGGGAAGGATCAAGTGAGGCGCTCAGGGTCCTCCCAGCTCCTTCCCCCTCCTTCCCCCCCAAGGCTCCCAGTGAGGCTGAGGGCACAGCATTTATGACCCTTTTCTAGCTCTACAAGGAGAGGGCAGACCTGGATCAGTGTGAGTGTGAGTGTGTGCGCGCGCACGTGCGCACACTCTGGCAGGCGGGAGGGGTGACAGATCAGTGAGTGACTGGAACTCCCTCCCTCCCTCTGTACTTAGAAGAGGAAACAGCCACACTCCATGAATGCTGGGCCGTTGGAAAGGAGAGGGACATCTACGAGACACTGCCAGGGTCTGTCCACTTCTTGCGGTGTGCTCCTTTCCTCTCCCAACTTCCAAGGCTCTCGGAGATGGAGGAGAGAGTCCCGCCCCGTAAGAACCGCTCACTCAGACCTTGCGGCCTCCTCCCATCCAGAACCCCAGGATACAGGGCTGACTGACGTACACACACCACTCAATCCATCTACCTACCCACCTGCCTATCTCTAGGACACATATGCTGAAGCAGCATCGGATACGAACAAGTCCAAAGCAATCACCATGATCTTGCCTTGATGGTGCCCATTCGTGTTACTTCCTGGGCCCACAGCCAGACGAGCTTAGGCCTCACCAGGCCTCTCTCGGGAACCAGCCTTGCCCTGGCCAGCTGAGGCTAGGGGCTGAGGCCTGGAGAGGGAGTGGCTAGGGAGCCCTGAGTCCACATCTCATGGGGTAGGCAGCATCCACAGCAGGTGGCTACCTCTCAGCTGGTCACTCACTGCCCTACTGGCAGAGGCTGAAATAACCTCATGTCCTCCCCATACTCACAGAAAAGCAGGTTCTGGCTCCCACTGTGCTGAGCAGGGAAGGAGAGAGAGGATGGGCTACTCAAATAGCTCGGCTGATGCCTGTGCCTTCCTTCAGTGAACCGCAGTGCGCAGGACCCCAGGCTGTCACTGCTGGGGGAGGCAGCCGAGGGAACGGAAAGCTTGGATTCTCAGGCGTTCTCACGACTGACGGGGCCTCTCCTCCAGGCTCCCCTCACACTCCTACACTGAAGGGTCTGAGGGCTGGGCTCCTTGGTCCCCACAGTGCCCCAGTGCCCAGCATAGAGTGGCACAAATATTTGTTGGATAAACACAAAGTATGGGTGCACCATGTGAGATAAGTACCTCGACTCCTGCTATCTGATCTGCAGTCTCCTCCTAACACAGCAGTATGGACCCAGGGGCCTCAGGTCCTGATGAACAGCCAGGAACTCCTGAGGTCCAGGGTTCCCTGAATCCTTCAGGGTCTCTGCCAGGCAGAGAACATACTGCCTAGCTCCCAGAGTAGGTGGGGACAAAGCATCCCTGACATGTCTAGGTGTCAGGATGTGACCCAACTCTGAATGGGGACACAAGTGTCTTCTAGGGCAACCCAGGACTGGGAGGGACAGGATCAGAGGGCCACTTTGACCTATACTTTCATCCTCTGTGCTGGCCGAATGTCCATAGTCAGGCCTGGATCAGGAGCACTCAGCCTAACCCCTCAGCACACCTAATTAGCATGAGTGTCTTTTCCACCCTTTTTTGTTGCTGCTGTTAAGTATCTGAAGAGCGTGAGGTGCGAGGGTGAATGACTTACCTGTGTCACTTAATTTAACCCTTGTCAGCCTACCTATGAAGCAGGTGTTTTGCTTTGTTTTTAATGTTTTTTTTCATTGATATTTTTTTAGAGAGAGAGGAAAGAAGAAGGAGATAGAAACATCAATGTGAGAGAGAAACATTGATTGGCTGCCTCCTGCACGCCCCCAACTAGGGATCGAGCCGGCAATCCAGGTATGTGCCCTGACCAGGAATCTAACCAGGGCCTCTCGGTCCATGGGACAATGCTCAGTCCACTGAGTCACACCGGCCGGACTGAAGCAGGTATTTTCCCACTACTCTATAGATGAGTAAACGGAGGCTCAGAGAGGTTATACAGTGTATCCAACATCAGACAGCAGAACAGTGAAGAAGAACCACCAGAATCCTGAAATGCTGGCCTCAAGGCTGTGCTCCAGGGCTGTATTCTCAGGTCATGGTCCCCAGACTGGAACGCAAGCCAGGATGTACTCACCCAACCCTGGTGGCCGAAAGGGTGGACCACACCTCTAGGAGAGCGGTGTGGTGGGCTGCCTGGAGGCAGTGACGGGGTTAGGAGGCTATGCGGAAAGTTCCACATGCCAGGGTTCTTCTACCTCACTCTCCCTGGACCAGCCTCCAGCACTGACCCCACGGTAACCTGCTGCCTTGGCCATTTCCTGTCCTGGAATCAGCCCCTCCAACCCGAGGGGCAACGTGCTGCTTTGGGAACAGGCAGACGAGCCCAGGAGGAAAGAGGAAGCTTCGAGGCTGCTCCTCCCTCCCACCGAGGCCTTAGAGAGGGCTCCAACTGCCAGGTACGGGGAGGAGGGGCAGGGACTTACACGAGAGACCCTGCAGGGGCGGGGGTTGGGGATCTTGTCTAGGAGCTTTCCACAGGCCGGCCCATCTCACTTGGGTCCCAGTGCTTTTGACTTCCACTTAGTGCCATCACCCAGCCATGTGACCTCAAAACCTCAATGTCCATTCATCCCTCAACCAGTTCATGTCACCTCTCACCAGAGCCCAGCCCAATATCCTCAATGGCTTCTCTGCTTCATCTTCTTCCCTCCTCTACCTGCCATCCAGGTAGTTTCCTAAATCGCAGGTGGCAAATCGCGTTGCACCTTTCCTCCCAACCTGCGGGATCTCCCGATGCCTAGCCCAGTGAACCCTCCTACCTCTTTCTCCACCCACGGAAGGTGCCCTGGCCACACTTCCCGTCGTCCCATGTCTGCAGGCCCTGGCTGTTGCAGTTCTCTTAGCCAGGAGGCCCTTCCGGGCAGAGCAAATTCTATTCATAGAGAAGGCCCAGCTGAAATCAACGGCCTCTCTGAGCCTCCCTAGCGGACTTGAGGCCCCCTCCTCCAAACCCGCAGCTCAAAGTTCTGTGGGCATCGAGCACAGTGCCTTGTTGGAGATTTATCTGTGTGAGGCTGATTTGCCAACCACAGGAAGCTTCCTGAGGGCGGGGCCACATCTGTTCATCTCCAGAACGTGGGTGTTGAGCAGAACCAGGCAGAGAGGGAGTCAGCACACCTGTTTCATCTGCGTGCCCCAGTGAGGCCGGGTCAGGAGACAATGGGTAGGCTGTAGGCCTTGCCCACGGGAGCTCTCCAGGCGAGGACAGCAGAGCTGGGGGTTCCAGATGCCTGGTTTGCCAAGGCTTCAGACATGGAGGCTGAAGAGCCCTTTGCAGAGCTGCCAGCCGGTGTGGCTGTGAGCACCGCCCATGGCGCTGCAGGAGGCCACATTGGTGAGCCCTGACTCACTGCAGGCTGCACGTACAGCTGGACGCCCACAGGGTGCCAGTGATGCTGGTTTAGTCTCTGACCCCAGCATCTTAGACATTCCAGGCAGCTCACTTAGCTCCACTTGACCCCTGCCCCCGAGGCCCTCTCCAAACCAGGCAGGCTTGATGTCCAAAATAATGCCTTATAACTGGGACAGGGGTCACCAGAATAGCTGAAGGGGAGGGATTCCAAGTCCCATGCCCATGGCCTACCCCTTAGCCCTTGAGAACCTGCTGCCAAGCAGGAGAACTGAAAAGGGGAAGGCACAGAAATAACACAATATGGCCCCAAACTGAGGGCAGGATCTGAAAGGCCTGGCCTTAGAATACTGGCCTCAAATGGGGGTGAAACAGGGAGAAACAACAAGAGAAAGCAGGGTACCAAAGCCCAGGCAGAGGCTAGGGACTCATTGGTATGTTCCCTTCACTCCGAGGTCCATGGGTAGCCACAAGTCAAGGGAACCAGACCTGGGGAAGCAGAACCAGCACACGCTCCTAGAAGGGGACAGAAGTCCAGGCTAAACCTGGAGGGAGCTTTGAGCTGAGAGCAGTGGTTTGCAGAGCCAGTTCAAAGATTTTCCCACCACTTCCTTAGAAACCAAAATGGCCCTCCCCCAACAAACCCTGCCCATGTCCATCCATGGGGCATAAGTCCAGCCAGGCACAGAAGGCTCCTTACCATGTGTGGGTTGTCATAGTAGACGGCAATGGAGCGGAGCCTGGGGCAGACACTGCAGCTCTCGGTGAAAAGCCGCCCCGTCTCGCTGTAGGGCCCCATGTGGAACTTGTAGGCCACAGTGACATTGCGGATGGGGGGTGAGCCAGCACTCACTGTCACCCCAGCCAGCAGCCCTGAGTACCTGGCAAAGACCAGCAGCGTCAGCAGCAGCAGCAGAGTCAGGCCCCCAATGAGCTCCAGTAGTAGTAGGTCCGACATGGCTCTGTGCCCCCCACGCCGCACCCCACGGCAGCTGCGAAGGAGACAGAAGAGAGAGGAGACTGGTAGCCTGCTCTGACCAATGTGCCCACCTGCCTGCCAGTCTGTTCTGGTGCAACCCCAGCCCTGCCTTGGGTGCGCTGACCCAGGAGGAGTGGCCAGAGGTGTTTACACATGGAGTGACCTAGAAGGGAGCTACAAAGGATGACTGAAGCCACAAGCCTCCTTATTTCTTAACCACAATCACTGAGGCTCTCAGGGCTGCTGTGCCAGTCCGCTGGCAGCCTTGGTCACACCTGGGGAAACTGAGTCATAGAGAGCACAAGAGTTGAGTCAGCCAGGGACATACTCCCAGCTCTGATCAGCCTTCCCTGAGATGGACCAGACATGAGCCAGCCTGCCTTTCCCCCACATTGCCTCTTCCTTCCCACAGCTAAACCACACTACCTGCCCAGTCTCCCCAAGCCTCAGGGACCACTGCCAGAGGGAGGACAAGCAGGTGCCAGGGTCCAAACACTTATTAACAAACAGGGGAAAAGCACGAGGAACCAAACCCCGGGAGGGAGGGGGGGGATGTGCCACAGGAAGAGGCTCTCACAGGAAACTCCTTGGCTAAGCACATCTGGCCCGAGGAATCTTTGCTATCCAGCAAGCTCACCCCCCCAGAACCAGAGACCAGGTCAAAACAGGAACGAAATTCAGTGCTATGCTTCCCAGACCTGAGCCACCAGTGCTAACCCGCTTCATCTCACGTTTTCAGCCCAGAGACTAGAAATAGCAAGAAGGGAAAGGCTGCTAGAGTGGAGACACACAACACGGAGAAGTCAGTCACTGATCCCTGGTCTGAGTGGTTCATCCCATGAGGGAGGGGTGCTGGCCTGGGGGCATGGACCATATCTGGGGTCTACTCGCTGCCCTGTCCCTTCCTACCCAAACATCTCCAGTGTTTAGAATTTAACTTTTATGGTTTTGATCTCTCCACCCCACCTCCTGTACTAGCTACTTCACAAAAAGGCATCTTGAGGTGGAATGTTGAGGGGGGAGTCATTTTTCCTTTTTGTGTGTGTCACTTATCTGACAATTCTCCCTCCTGTCCACTGGCCTTTCCCCAATCCTCCTACTTGTACAGTACAAGGTAAAAAGACATTCATTTGGCGGGGGGGGGGGGGGGAGGCAGCAGCAAAGAAATTATCCAGGAACAGGCCTGGGACACAACACAGAGGCTGGAGAGAAACCTTCAAGGCAGACGGCCCAGTCTTCCCCAGCGTGACCCCAAATATTTAAAATTTAAAAGTTTTGGGAGCTGAAAGTCAACACGTCAGCCCTATGGAAAACTTAGCTCTGTGGAGTAATTTGTTCCTTTTGGGTTCTGTGTGTCAAAATTTTTTTTTCTGAAATATTGTCTTTGGAGTCAGTGCGCACACAGCTTGCCTCAGAGAGTGGCGAAGTCAACTTCTAAACCTTTGGTGTCATGACACTGGGGTGGCTGACTCTGGTCTTCTCCCCCACGGGGTTCCTGCCCCACAGCTGCTCGGTCCTGTGGACACGTTCATTCAGTCCTACCCAACTTGCCTCTGGTTAGTTTCACTCTTGTTTTCTTTGATGATGACAATGGATCTTTCAGTAAATACTATATGCCAGGCACTCTGTTAAAACCCAGCTACTTCATTAGTCCTCCAAACGAGGGATTAGGAAACAAGTGGTTAGGAAGCCAGAGACGTGCCCAAGGTCACACAGGTACTAAAGGGACCTGGACCGAAACGCCGGCAAAGGGAAACCTTTTCCACTCTCCCTCTCCTTCCTCCTGACAGGGTTCCAGAAAAGCTCAAGCATTTCACCCGTGCTGGACATCTCTGACGTTGGCTCTCAGACGCAGCTCTGGGGGTGACCAGCTCTCTGAGCCACCCACTCCGCTGCACACTCCCTGTCCCCTCGAGGGAATGTGGTCCCCACTTTTCTCTTCCTCTCGCTCCTTAAGTCTCAGAAAATGAACCTGGGGCCCAGAGCTCCGGTCAGCACAGGAAGGAGCCGGGGCACAGGGAACTGCCCCATACTCAAGAGAAAGAGAAGGGCTGGGAAGCTCACCTGAAAAGCCAGGCTCCCTTTTAGCAGCTCATGGCATCCGGCGCGGCAGGGAACGAAGTGCTCCGAGCGCTCCAGAGCTGGGGGCAGAAAGAAAATACCACTGAGCCGGGCACCTGGCCCTGACCGCTCCCTGTTCGGGGAGAGCCCCCCCGGGGCTCCGGAACTCCCCCTCATCAAAAGGTGCGGCCTCAGTCCCCTCGGGGAGATCAGAAGCTGAACTCGCCTCACTAAGTCGGCTCCACCAGGGCCCCGATCATGTCCCTGTTCTTGGAGAGTTGTCTTCCAGGGGGGCTCCAGACGCCCCGAAACAGCCCCGGCCGCGGGCCCTGGGCGGGCTGGGCCCCGCTCCAGCGAGCCTCCGGGGTGGTCGCCTCCCCCGGTCCCGCGAGCGTCGGGGCGGCCGTCCGGCCGGCTTCCCTCAAGGGCCCCGCCGTGGGCGCCGGCGGGAGCGCGAGGACCGGGCTCGGGGCCCTGCGCCGGAGGAGGGGACTCCGCCCGCACTCGCGACCCCACCCCTCGGCCGCGCCCCGCCGGTTTACCCAGCCCCTTCCTCTGCCAGCCGCGACCCCCAGGGGCCGCAGGCACCTCCGCAACTTCAAGCGACGGCAAAGTTTGCAGCCGGGCGGCGAGGCGCAGCCCAGACACGGGGGCGGAGTTAAAGTGCGCTCCTGCCCCGCCCCCACCCCAGCCCTCGGCCCGGCCCCGGACTCGCCCCGCGGCCGCGGCTGGGGCAGGGGCGGCCGGGGCCGGGGCGGCCGGGATGGCAGGGCTGCTCCAAGGTCGAGCTCGGCCCTCCGACCCGGCAGGGGCCAGCTGTGCGGGAGTCGAGATGCAAAGGGCGGCCTGGGCCGCGGGGGTCACGAAGGGGCGGTGGGGGCCCTGAGGCCGCACCCGGGCGGAGGGAGGTCCCAGGCCCTCGGCGGGCGTGAGGCTGCCCCGGCGGGAAGGCTTCTGCCCCCGCCCGGCCCTCACCTCGGCTGCACCCGCCGCGGACGCCGCTGCGCGCAGGCGGCTCCGGCTTCGGTCGCGGAGCCTGTGCGCGCCCGCCTTGCACGCTCGCTCCGCCCCCTCTCGCGGCGGGACGTGGCCGTGGCCGTGGGCGCGTGCGCGCGGGACCCGAAGGGCGGAGGCCTGCCCCGCCCCGTCCCCATGACAACGAGCGTGCGTCCATCCTCCGGAGCTGTCAGGGGCGGAGCCCGCCCCGCCCCGCCTCCCACACGCCCGGGTGGCAGAGGGTGACTGGGCGGGGAGCGCGGGGCACCCGGGCCGGCGAGAGCACCACGGCCGCGCGCCCTCGGGCGTGGGGGGAAGGCTGCCGGGCGGCCCGCAGCGGGCAGCCAGGCTGGGGCCCCGGAAGCCCGCGCCGGAGAGGAGCGTTCGAAGAGGTTCCTGGCATTCGTGCGGTCCGTGGTCCTGCTCCTTTCGCTCACGGAGCTTCGCGACAGACCGGGGCACAGCACAAGGCAGGGCCACCGGCTCCCATTGTACAGCTGGGTAAACTGAAGCCCAGCCTGGGCTCAAGGGAGAGGCTAGTGGATCCAACCTTCGGACAGCGCGCGTATCAGCTTCCTGCCTCCAACTCCAGGGCACTCCACTCGCCAACCAGACACAGGGGTGATCTGTCATCCAGCCAACATGGGTTGAGGACCACTCCCTACCAGGACAGTCCTAGGGGCTGAGGGTACTGAGAAGACTAAACCAAAACCCCATCTCCTGGAGCTCAGCGGGGCACGCCCCCTTCCCAGGCTCCTCCCGCAGCTCCGCCCTCTAGCTGAGCGTACACCAGGTAGCTCCCAGGCCAGGTGTGAGCTCCTCGAAGACAGGTTTGATCTTCAGCTCCTATTTCTGAGGCCCTGCAAACAACAAAGCGCCCTTCTAGGGCCCCAGAGATAAAACCTTGCCTTCCGGAGAGGCCCAGTCTTGCAGTGGAAGCAGGTCTTGCTGGGCCAAGAGTCTCCTTGGTGCTCCTGACTCCGAGAATTGATGCCTGGGAGGGCAGGCTTATTGGGGACCCCAGTACTGCACGAACAAAGGGCAGACTGGGCACACAAAGGCACTCGTAATCCTGGCTTCCTTTCCCTCAGCTTCACATTGTTTCTTCCTCATCTACAGCACCAAGCCTGCCCCAAGCTCTCTGGGCAGCTGGCCCCTTACAGGCACTCAGGGCTAGGCTGGCAGGGTTGTGGCAGTTGCTTGTGAACATCAGGCACATGATCCAACCCTCTGGGTGCCCTAGACAAGTGGGCTGTACACTTGGAAGCATTTTCTGCGGGTGGAGGAAGGGCCAGTGCACTGGCTGTGACAGCCTCTGCCTGCAAGGTTTGCATGGTTGGTTCTGACTCTCAGCAGCTCATGAACTTCTCTCCGGAAACCCTTGTCTGGAGCTGCCCTTTCTTCATTTTGTCCTCTCTGCTCACTTCCTTTAGCCTGGCTGGGGAACTCAAAGGCCCCACATCAGAGTTCAGGGTGTGCCTTAGTTGCTTCAGCACCGCTGTCTGTCAGGAAAGAAGTCTGCCTGTGACTGTGACAGCAAGACATCAGTTTCCATGGCTTCAACTCAGGCTGCTCCCAATAAGGCAAGCCTGGCCCTTGTAGGATCCCCACAAGGTCTCTGCTGGCCACCAGGAGGCTGCAGCCAAGGCACTTTTGACACCCCTCCCCAGTGGCGTTTGAGCAGACGGCTCATCTAGCCATCCCCCCAGTCCTATCTCCCAAGAGCACATATTCTCCCTCATGAGCCCCGATTTGGCTTTTATTTCCTGCTTTCTTCTGTCCAAGGAATCCCCACAGAGGCTCTTTAATTTTCTCTTAGAAAATTCTCAGAGAAAGTTTCCCCAGGGCTGCTTCCCTTAAAGGGACCAGAGTGGACACTTCCCTCCTTCCCCTAGCCCCTAATGTTCCAAAGCCCTGGTTAGTTCTCTGGGAGGCAGTGGTCAGATCCTCAAACTTGATGACAAACGGAGAACGCACATGCAGTGTGTGTCTCCCATCCTTTGAAAGTACCCGTGCTGTACCCAATCCCCAGCCACTCACAGCCCAGTTAGGGCATCCCCTGCAGGACGTGCCATGGCTGAGGACCAGCTAGCCTCAAGTTACCCCGAGTCAGCTTCACTGTTCCCTCTAGAGCCTGGAAATGCAGTCCTCTTCAGGTGAGCAAAGGCAGGAGGAAGCCAGCAAACCCCACTGCAACAAAAAACCTGCCAGCAGTCGACCCTCTGTTCCCACCTCCCCTCCCTCCACCCCAGGATGCTCTAAGTTATATCCCTTTTGGCACCACGAGCCAAACAGCTGTTCAGACAATTCCTTGATCAAACAACATTGCCTTCTTGAGTTTAAATTTTATTTTACAAAAAGAGAAATAAAGAAAACTGATAGGCAGTTATACTGACTTACATTTGTTCTGTTTGCTTTTTTAAAAAAGTGACATGAAACACAAGTAAAAATAAATACGTCATAGAAACAGCCAGTTGCCCAGTCTCTGGGGCAGGAGCACCTGCCCTGCCGAGAGGAGGGAAGCCCATGACCACACCAGCAGCTAGAGCACCAGCCACAGGTGCTCCTCAAAGCCAGGCGCAGTCCCAGGCCTCAGGGGGCGTCCTGAGGAAAGAAGACGGAAAACCAAAGCCCGGTGCCAGGTCTCTGGGGCCACCTCATCTCCCCCCACTCCTGGCAGTAATGTGGCCTTAGTGGTTATCCACTGCCACCCCTCAACCCACCTGGACCTCTTCTCCTGCCCCTCTGGTGAGGGTACAGGAAAAAACCGTCTTGAGCAGGCTAAGGGGCTTCTTCCGGTGAGTCCCCAGCCCACCCTGAGTAACACAACCAGACAACAGTCAGTTTACACTCATGTGCACATGAGCAGGCAGGTGCACATGCACACGTGCGCACGCACAGACACACACACAGACACACACATGCCTGGGCTGAGCTCTCTCCCAGGGGAGGGTCCTGGATCAGGTCACAGTATGAGGTCCCCCCTCTTCTGAATATCACCCCAGTAGTGGTAACAGAGAGTATCCAAATCTCTCCCAGCCTCTGCCCTACAGACTCTGCAGCCTGCCTGGCTACCTCTCCCCGATGCACTGATTACTAGATCAAACAGACCCACGAGAGAGGAAAGGGGCAGACTCTGGTCCCTGAAGAGCAAAGAAGTTGGACACTGCCTGCTCAGGAAGTTCATCGTAAGACTTGGGTATTCATAAAAGGCCCAGGGCCAAGCTAGTGGCATAGACAGACATTAAAGGGTGATAGTGGAATACACAGGGCACAAGAGAAGCGTCAGTAGGAGGGGAATGGAGTCTGAGGGTGACGGATGGGGAGCGAAGTATTCTCAGACAGGTCTTGAGGTGCAGGTTCCTTGGGAACAAACAGTCAGCAGAGGGTCAGAAAATCTCCTGGGGGGGCCACTGGGAAAAGGAGCGCCTCTCTCAGGAGTTTTGGTGGGAGAAGAGCCACTTAGCTGGGTGTATAGGAGGCTGTGGTTCAGGAGGGAGACTGGTCTTCTGAGGAATCACAGGGAACTGGGAAACAGGAGGGAGGGCCATGGCCAGGAGCACTAGGAACAAGGAATGTACATGGGATGAGGACTCCGTCTCAGAGCAATGCCAGGCTTGAACAGACTGAAGCAGAGGACTATGCTCTGCTGACGACTTTGGGAGTGACAGTTTCACCCAGACGGCTAAAGTTTGGTTAAGTGTTTCAACCTATTAGCAAAACTTTACCCTAGCTTTGCTTCAGGCCCTGGAGTGGGAAGTTTCATCTTTAGTTGTGAATCACAAGTATATAAATTTCATACACTAATTCCTAGGGAAGAGAGTTCCAAGGACCAGAGTTATCCTGTAATCAGGAGATGATGAGATAGATGCTTAAACAACCGGAGAGGGTGGGGATTTGGCAAATATCCAATCTGAAGAAACAGATCTGATCCAACAGGGTTCACTTACTTTCTTAAGCTGCTACTTTGTTCGATTTTTATCCACAAAGATTCTAAGAAAAGGACACTGAACCTCACTACACATGGTAATTCTGAATCACTGAGTTGCACTACATTCCCTAGGCTGAGAATTTAAGCTAAACCAGCCAGATGATGGACCTTGAGGGGCCTCTGAAAACTTTCTGTGGAAGATGAGGGGGAGGGAAGTGCCCAGGCCTGGTCTTCTGCCCTCCCTCACTCCGCCACCCTCCCCCACTCAGGCCTGGGGGGCAGGTGGGAGCCACCACCAAGTGCTTCTGATCGAAGAAGCTGTAGAACAGTTCTCAGGCTCAGAGACAGTTCCTGCTTCCCTCACACATGCTCACGTTTGGGGTGCAAGCACACTGCCAACCGGCACACAGAAAGAGATAGCAGACAAGTCAGAAGTGTCATGTTCATCACTACAACAACACGGAAATGGCGGCACTCCAATTTCCTGTGATCCCGCCCCCACCTGCCGAAAGAGTGTAAGCTGCACATATCGAAGAAAGCCTTCTCTAGCCAGGTCTGCCTCCCGAAAACTAGGGCCTTTCCCAAGTTAACGCAAACCCAGCCACTGGAGGCACTGGGTCGAGAGCCGGCATGTGCTCCTCTCAGGATGCCCATTCACTTCTTGGTACCTTCAAAAGCCCCTTCCCTTCCAGCGACTGGTGTCAATTCCTTGCTGGCAC